GACAGTATGAGCATCACGGTATTTGACGGATGGTTGTTGCTTTGCAAAAAAAAAAACAAAAACAAAATTGAAGAAGCAACTTACTCTTATGTAAGGCAGAAGCAGCCAGGCTTCACTCTTCCCATTCCGCTCAACAAAGGTGTGTGCCACGAGGCTAAGTACATTGGGGTGATTAAACATCTGATGCATTTCCACTTCCGTCTGGGCTTCCTGGCGGCCTTCTCGATCATGACACAGGATTCTCTTCAGGGCATAGAATCGACCATCCTTTACCCCCTCAACAAGGTCCACGTAACTGAAACCACTGGAGAGAGAAATTATGAATAATTCTGCATTTTGTTGAAAGGCAACTTTTGTCAAATAAAAAAATACAAATACCTTTGCAAACCGGTGTGTGTTTGCATCAAAAAGGGACCATATGTGTTATCTTACCCCTCGTCAAGTTTCTGCAAGAAGTAGTATTTTTTGCTGTCAATGGTGATGGAGCCACGGGAGCAGATGCACATAGTCTGCCCCATCTTGACTGGAACATTACATTATTTAAAATCTAGAAATAAATATAAAGCTCATTAGAGAGATGGAAATTAATTTATTCAACAACATTTTGCACAAGGATCGCAATCCTCATGTTTTGTGGTGGCGGGCGGTGAGTTTAGTAGCTGGGTCTACAGACTTAATAATCCAACTCCATATATATATATATATATATATATACTGTATACATACATATATAGGGTCACATTGTTTTTTTCAATATTTAATTTATTTTAATATTTCTTTACTTGTCTCTTTTCATTTTTGTTTCAATATTTGTTTCCATTTTTGTCGAGTTGTTTCAATCTTGATTTCAACATTTATTTATTTTATTTGGGCAGTCCTGTGACCTGTGTGCAGCATTACATCTGGCATGAAACTTAGTGGGCATGAGCCGACCCCGGGCGTCAAAACAAGTGCAAACACCACAACACAACCGCAGGGGGGTAGCATTCGCCTTTGTTGAGAACTGTCTCGGCTATCGTCGTGGTCCCACCCGGTTCACACCCACTGAGTATGATGGGACTGTGGCAGATTTTTTTTTTCCAACTGTGTTTCATTTCTCAGTTATAAGTAAAAATGTTCTCATACCTTTTCCTCGGCAGAATTTTCAATATTCTTTCAAGGTCCATGCCCTCCGTGTTGTTTCCCTTTGCATCTGAAGGTACTTGGAAATACTGTTGGAGACCAATGCTTACCCCCAGTATTGTGTACGTGGTTGTCAGGTTTGGAGCAGTATCGGCAGGTTTGCTGTGTGCCCTCATCACACTTTCACAGCAACTGGAAAGTGAGGGGGTTGTCGATGTCTATCAAGTGGCCAAGATGATCAACCTCATGAGGCCAGGAGTCTTCACAGACATGGTGAGTCTGGCCCTTTAGTTTCGGTGACCCCTCCAATGAACTAGATGCTCCTATGATCTCTCAGCAGCCTTAAAATAATAATAATAATAATAAAAACAATAATAATAATGAATTTTATCCGAAAGTGATTTTCATAGTACTCAAAGACACTTCACAACAAGAATTGAGCAACACAGGATTAAAAACGTACACTTGAAGACAAAGTATACACATTTTAAAACAAACACATTTCGACAAATCAAAACACAGCAGAAATGGGGAAAAGTGATTAAAAGATGTTAAAAGCATTGCGGAACCGGTGAGTTATAAGAAATGATTTGAAGGATGGGAAGTCAGTACACTTGCGGATGTGTTGAGGTTAAGGGTTCCAGAGTGTGGGGGCGGCGATTGAGAATGCTCAGGCTCCCCAGGTTTTGAGCTTGGTCATGGGGATGGCGAGGAGGTTTGCATTTGAGGAGCGGAGGTTGCGGGAAGGAGTGAATGGGTGAAGAAGGTCGGAGAGGTAGGATGGGGCCTGATTGTCAAGGGCTTTGAGTAGGAGGAGTTGAAACTAAATATGCTGGGGAATGGGGAAGGTTTTTAAGGATGGCGGTGATGTGATCACAGGTGCCGGTGTGGGTGAGAAGGTGGGCACCGGCATTGTGGATGTACAGTAGAACTCCTCTACAACGAAATCATGTTTGCAGCCAGAAATTTTTCACAACAGGGGACTTTTCACTGTAGCAAAGTGGATCTCAGACGTAAACACAAACACACACAAAAAAACGTATATGTGTACTTTTAATTTTTATTCCAATAGCGGGTAAGTGTGAGCATACACTTATTTGACACTTCAAATAGCCAGCGTAGAAAGAAAAAAAAGAAAAAGAAATTGCGAAATTTACAATCGGCTTTTCTTTTCTTAACTCCTTGTGAAGAGCCTTGGTCTGCAAAGGTCCGTTTTGTAGCCATTTTATACCAAGCAATGTGTGCTGTGTCTGAAACTACTAGTGACATTTCTAACCATGTGCTAACAATAACAAATACTTCCTATATTACTGCGCATGTGTAAGCCAGTGTGGTGGTTGCTGTTGCCGTTTCCGAGCTAAGCAGTAGCGGTGGCTGTGGCAGGCTGAGGTTGGATTAGCCTTTTGCGGAAGGCTTGTTTTCATTGTCGTGAACCTCAATGTGAGGCAAGGGTGGAAAGAAGGATTTTGTATTACACAACAGGGGGTCTTTTCTTTGTAGCGGGAAGCAGAAAACAGGGAATGTCTTTCATGCGTGAAGATTTTTTCACACTAGGGGGTATTTTCGCACATGTAGGTTTCGTTGTAGAGGAGTTTCACTGTTCTGTAGTTTATTGAGAAGTTTGGAGGTTATACATTAGACCAGGGTGCCTAATACATCGATTGACAGGTAGCTCACGGACTGGTCTCAAGTCGATCGTGAGGGGTGTAGAATGAAATCTGTGCATGTTATGAATATATTTTGTGTAAATGCACACTGCACCCTTAGCATCCTATCAATCTCACTTTCACAAAAAATATTTAAAAAATAAAATTAAAAAAGCAGGTCACCTTTCACCTGCATCACCTGTGTGACATGCATCACCGGAAGTTGTTAGCGGTCAGCAGTGTGCAATTGCAGCTTTCGATCTCTTTTATTGTTCTTATTATTCTCATTTGGAGTTTGTTTGATGTACAATTCACCGAGGGCACTGGCAAAGAATGGCAAAATGGAGGGCCGAGAGAAGCATTTTAAAACGGTGAACTACGATAGTTAACACGCTCCAAAAGTGCATCCCATGCCTCCGAGTCAGGTCTCGACGAAGGGAGGCATTGATTTTCACAACTTCTTCTTGTGTCCATTTATTTTTCTGTTTCATACATCTTAGGGGCCATTATGGGTGTTGCTCACTATGGCATGGGTGTTTATGCGCGCGTGTGTGGTAACGGGTCCATCACGGGAGGTTGGTTGATCGAAAAGTAGATCTTTGCTCAAAAAAGGTTGGGGAACCCTGACGTAGAGGATGCTATTGCCGTTGTCAAGCAAGCTGATGAAGCCGCAGATGAAGGTTTGAGCAGCGTTGAGAGAAAGTAAGGGGCGGAGTCGAGAAATGTTTTTGAGGTGGAAGAAAGCAGTTTTTGTAATTTGGGTGATCTGTTGGTTAAAAAAAAACAGATAATTATATTAAAGGACACCAAAGTTGCAACAGTGAGAAGAGGGGGACATGGTGTTGTGTGTAGGGTTTACCATTATAAGATGGACCTTGTGGTCACGAATGAACTCAATATTTCTGGGGGAAACTGAAATGCAGAGCTATATGCCTTAACTCATTTAATTCATTTTTTTCTCAAATTGGGACAGACGTGCCAGCCATTTATGACCAATTTGATACATTTTTGAAGGCCTACAGAAAATGGAGCTCTGTCGCTATATAAGCCTGGAACCTACCAAAAGAAACTGTTAATCATCTTCTTTCATCAGAGCAAAAGACATTTCTACCTTGTACCATTCTTTAGTAAACAGCAGCTGAACATTGGTAAGTGTCTTGAAAATATTCATTTCCAAGAAAAAATTCTGAGAAAAAGAGCTTTTTGTGAAAGGATGCATTTCAAGTAGAACTTTCGCTTTGATGCTATTTTTTTAAGCATTATCCAAATAATGCTTTCCGACGAAATGAAAATATGAACAACACCAGAAAAGGCACTTGAATTGCAAAATAACCATTTATTGCAAGAAAAACACTGCGTTGATGCATGAACTATGCATGAACTTTGCAGTCACTTTTCATGTACGTTAACCTTATTCTTGTTCTCACCACCACATTGTTACACACACACACACACACACACACACACACACACACACACACACACACACACACACACACACACGCACGCAAGCGCACACGCACGTATGCATGAGTCTGTGTGGACCAAGATCTGATCAAAGCCACTCCTGCCATCTAGTGGTGATTTATCATGCTGACATTATTTCCAAAGCTTTTACACTACAGTATACTCATACTTGGGAGCTGCGTGAAGCCCTTTATTAATTTTTTTTAATTGAAAAAAAAAAAAATAGAAAGAAAGAAAACCACCAAAAACGAATTTTTACACGTTGGCATTAAATGACATAATTTTTGCAAATGTAATTTTACATTTTGGTTTTAAATAAGTTCATGTCAATTTTGAACACCAGTCAGACCTTCTTTACATGGGTGATGATGCAAACAAACAAACAAACAAAAAAAAAACATCCTCATTGCTCAGTCTTCTGTGAAATCATCCAAATCTTTTAGGTGAATCTTTTCTTTTTTATTTCATTGAATGACAGTTGAAAGTGTTTACTGTTGCACGAGAACGTTGCTGAAAGTGTCTTAACTAGTTACATTTTGCTCCAACATATTTTTCTGTACGTCTCTTTTCCTTAATTCTCTTGTTACCCCTGCCTCCCCATCACCCCCCACCAATACCTGTTTGTGAACTGCCCACCAGGATCAGTACCAGTTCCTGTACGAAGCCCTCGTCAGCCTTGTCCGCACCAAGGAGATCGGCTTTGGGCCTCTGGACATCAGCCGGACCTTGTCATCGTTGTCTGATCAATCCGACGAGGCAGAAAGTAGAGAATCACTAGTGTGAGGGCCAGAACTTGACTGAGGATGTTGCGTGTCTGAAAAACATCCCGCACCCCTTCCACTCCCGGAGTGCTTGAAGGAAGCATCGAACTTTGTAAGCCGTCAAAGAACTATTATTAGACTTTTTGAGGCCTTTTTTGCCAGACTCTTGGTTAAATTAAAACACCTGATTACTTTTTTACACTGATATAAAATACAAATTGATATTTATTTTTTCGTCTTAATGTCCTCCGATTGAAGGGTTTGCACCTGTTTTTTTTTTTTGTTTTTTTTCTTTAAGTTTGACACTGCTTCAGCAGGCAATGAGATCCACCTCTCTGTCGTTTCTCGTTTGCACTATATCCGATAATGTCAATGTTACTGCCTATGCTTGAAGCCCCCCACCCACCCGGCTCACGCAAGCTGATTGTTTTGACATTCCACAACCTTGTTCCCCCTGCTACGCGACCTGCTTCTGCGAAGGACGTTGCTCTGTTTGACGCTTTCCATTGGATCGAAACGAGCTCGAGGAGGAGGTCACACTCACCTCAGAGGCTAAACGCTGTTCAGCTGCAATAACCTCCTCGTCCGTGCCCTTTTGGTCAACCGCATTACCACACATGCACTCTAGAAAACAGACCTATTCCCACTGATCTCTTGCTCTACAAATGCATTTCTCTTTTTTTTCTTGGTGTTTTTGCTTTGTTGCGTTTTATGTATTTATTTTTATTTTATTAATATTTTTTGAATCACATTTTTGTTCAAATAACAACAAAGTGGTAACAAGGTGGTGTTACAACTGTGATCTTTGACATCCTTTTTTGGCGTCACTTTCTGATTTTGTATATAAACACACTGTATGTGTGCCCGTATGCATATATTCTCAGCCACTACTGCGTCCTTCTTCTCTTTTGATGTGTCTGCTGCTATGCTGTCACAGTTCATCGACTCTTAACACTCTTTTTCATCTCATTGAAATCATTCTGGACACTGTATCCGAAACTCTTACCGGTCTTGCTATTGGATGGACACGCGATGATATGCAGGGGAACATTATACGAAGCACGTTCTATGCAACAGGTTGAAGAAAACCAAAACAGGGTGTGATTCTCAGTGTTAACCGTTAGCGATCATCTGACCTCTTTTTGTGCTCTCCGGGCAGAGACGCGATGGTTAAATAACGTCATTTCTTTGAACCAGTTGAATTGATGTCTGTCCCATTTCATTAGGGCATAAAGTACTGATAGAGAAACAGACAAGATATGAGTTCTTTTTTTTTTTTTTGGTGTGTGTGACTGAGTTGATCTGCTCTGCCCGATTTACCGACACATTTTAAAGTGACAGACGACGCAATGACCTATTTCTGCAGCGCCCAAAGAAGGCACACTCAGTTACCGCCCGACTTAGTTTTTCCATGTTTTTATTTTATGACTATGGCTGTATTTTTAATCCAAATGTTTACTGTAATTATGACTTTACTGTATGAGCGTAGGTTAGTGGAAGACTATGGTGTTCTGAGTCGCATACCTAATTGAAAGGAACTCCCAGGATCCCCCCAACCCCCTGTATAGTATTTCCAAAATGAGTAGAGGAAGTAGGTAATTTGTACAATATTTACTACATGTTTACATTTTTGTTGTCAATGAACAAAGTCAAAGAACTTCTTGATGGTCATGTTATTATTTCATGGTAACTTGCTGATACAGTACAGGTACTAAATTTGGTTTCCGGGAATGTGGTTTCCTGTTTTTGCCATATATGAAGTACAAATTTAAAAGACAAAGAGTCTTGTAAAAACAATAAATGTTTGATTTATCTCCACATCGCAACATGCATTGCAATATTCTACCAAAAGAAGACCTCTCACTTATTTTTTGAAAAGTATACACAGTACATAAACTGCAGATTATTTACCCATTTTTCCCCCAATTATATATATAACTTTATGAACCACACGATCTCTTTTAACTTATACCGACACAGTATAAAAAAAAAAATCTGACTTATCCATTGTTAGCTACCTGACAGCTACACCACTAAATAACGTGCAGTAAATGTGCAAATGTGGACAAAACATCAGGGTTTTAATTTTTAATTTTACTTTCAATGAATAACCTTCAAGGTATAAATGTTTGTTTTGAGTTTTTTTGGACCAGTTTGAATGTTATTACACTAGAACAACTCTCCGATTTAAATAAATAAATAATGGAATCACTGAGTCCTATTTATACTGCTCTTTGGAAGATAATCGGCAGAGTTGGGGGTGCTTTGGGGCTGATGTACATGCGCTGAAATCTTTTTATTTGTATTTTTTTCATCTTTTTCTCTCTGCGACCCGGTACAACAAAGTGGTGGTCTGCGGACTGGTGGTTGGGTACCCATTGTATAAGTCAAGAGTGACCTAAGATCTGCTTTTCGATTAACCAACCTCCCGCGATCGACCACAGACAACCACATGAACTTACACACGCATGCCATGATGAGCAACAGCCATAATGTTCCTTAAGATGAACGAAACAGAAAAATAAAGTAGACACACGAGTTTGTGGGTTTGTGAAAAAGAAATCACAGGCTACCTTCGTCGAGACCTGACTCGGAGGCATGGGACGCACTTTTGCAGCGTGTTAACGATTGTAGCTCAAGTGTTCCGTTTTAAAATGCTTCTCTCGGCCCTCCAAACTCCCATTCTTTGTGCCCTCGATGAATTGTACATTAATGAGAATCTGAATGAGAATAATAACAATAAAAGATATAGTGCAACAGCTCTGATCGCGAGCTGCAATTCCAGACTGCTGACAGGCTAACAACTTCCGGTGATGCAGGTCATGCACCACCGTACCTTAAAGGTGACCTGCTTTTTTTAATTTTACTTTATTTTTAAAATTGGAACCAGTCCACCAGCTACCGGTCGATCATGATCGACGTATTGGGCACCCCTGGGATAATTCATCAGGTGTGGGAGGAATGAAACGACAGTACATTGTTTGCAATAGATACCACAACGAAACCTCTTAATCAGTCATCTTGATTTCCAGAGGTGGGGGCGAGGGCTGTTCAATTCCAACCTTAAAAACATGCCTGCATTGGATTCCATGCACCAGACATTACCAACACTTAAGGGTAGAATCAACGCACAGCACACACTGTCAAGATAGTGTATTAGGGGGTCTTAATTTGACACAGGACTTTAAAGTTAATAGCTAATCCTCTTTCGGTTGTTCCCCGTATTCTTTTACTTTGAGTGTACATATTTTGATCAGTGTCTGCTCTATTTGGGGTGATATTTGATACCATAATGACTTTATGACGCTGCCTCATAGTAACCTATGGCTGACCAACCACATGTTCCCAAGGTTTGGAGTAAAACATTTTTATTTTCTTCATATGGCCGGCCAAACGCATTGGAGAAAATTGCAACTTAATGACTACAAAAGTACCCGGACGTCTGTCACGGCTAATTTTCATCTGAATTTAGAGAACTGGAATTGCTTTGAATGAACTGAAAGTGAATATATATATATATTCACTTTATTTATATATATATATATATACAAACACAGAGAGAGAGAGATATTAAAATTATAATTATATATAAAATATATTTATATATAAACATACATATATAATTTTATATATATATATAAAATTGTATTTTATATATATTTATATATAATTATATTTTCAGTGAAGATCAAATAAAGTTTCAGAGAAATTGAAATATATATACTCAAATTCAGTTTCAAGTTCTACACAAATAAAGTTCAAGTCAAATTATACACTTCAATGCAATGAGTCAAATCAAACACACCAATTTCAATTTCTCTCATTCAAATTCTATTTTTCAATGCAATTGTTCCATTTTGGTGTTTCAAATATAAATCATTCAAATTCCATTTCTGGTGGCACATATTTCAGCCCACACGTGTGCATGAACTGAGGATGTATTACTTGAAATGCGGATTTAGGAATAATTGTTTGATTGGGATCGTGTGCAATGAAGTTTGTGTTTTTACATTTCGAGTGAATCTTCAACACCGCACAAAGCAGAGAAGGTGAAAAACAGTGAAGAGGCAACTGTATCTGCATTGTAAAGAGACAAATTGGAAATATGGGGATTTTATTTATGAAAATACAGCTGCACCATTGTGCACGTGTCTTGCAAATTGTTTTCTCTTACATGTATGATTTCAAACAAAAAAAAAACAAAACAAAACCAAAAAAAAGCACACAAAATTGTATTGCTTTGTTTGCAGCCTGGTCAGCATCGCAGGTGACACTTAATTCATCCATTCATTCTTTATTTATTTAACAGGGACATTGCACAACAAACGTGGTGCACAGACCAGAAGTAGCTACAAGCTAACTTTCATCTGCGATCCATGTGCAGAAGCGGTTTTCAGAATCTGCCTTACCAGGATGAATAAATGTTAAAAATGAATTTTAGAGGCTCAAAACTGAAAGTGAGATTTTATAATCAGTTAGCATGCATGACATTGTAGCACACTGATTCACACTGGCTTGCCACTCTAGCAACTCATAGTTCCGGTTCACCTTTCTGTTGATAATGTGAGCCAAAATTTGAATTGAATTGAAAGAGATATTGTTGTAACATCAACCTTTGTGCCATAAATGGCAAGTACCGCTGTGAAATTATTTGAAGTTTGTATGATGAATCTGCTACATTTGTTTGACAATTTTAACTACCTTGATGTGGCTTCTTCAGTGAGCATTGCTGCATCTGAAATTTCACATACGAAGTTAATGTTACTTGGGCATGAAGGGTTTCTGCAAGCAAAATTGTTAATCATATTATTTCTTTTGTAAGATCATTTCTGCTAAAAAAAAAAATCATCTTGCTGTCACGCAGGGTACTGTGAATAAGCATTGTATATATTTTGGGTGCCTCAAACCGCACGCTTTCCTGAGAACTAGTGACGGGGACAGAGGAAATGCGTGGACGTTTTGTTTTAATTGTATTTTCGACTTTCTTTCTCTTGTCAACATGATTTCTCATTTCTTGAATGATCTGTATAAAATGATTGTGGCTTTCGAACAAACTTTTTTTTCTGAGTCACTTCTGAGTACATGCTGTTAATTTTTCCCAGCCTTCGGTAATCACGATTAGATTCCACTCGATAAAAAGCGCTCTTCACGTTTCAGCTTTGCACCTTTCATGTAAATTAAAGGCGGTAAGTGTGATATTAAGATGGATTTCTTTTCTTGGTCTTTTTGTTAATAGCCATATGAAATCATTCTACTATTGTGTTATTTAATATGTAAATTGTATTGCAATGCATACAATAAAAAAGGTTCTGGAGGTTTTATTTTGATTTTTGACCGCCTCTGCTCTCTTCTCAGAAGCATTTTTTTTTTTCATTTTCAGTCAAGAGACAAAAGTGTGAGAGTTTGATCTTCACAGGCCTAAATTTGATAGCTTAGACAGGCTCTAGCTCACCACAATCTAAACTTAATAAGCGGCAAAAAAAAAAATGGATGGAGCTCATACACACGACTCAAATTTTTGGACATTGGGCTCACCAAACCTTGTAATAAAACAGAATTTGAAGTTAAAAATAAAAATCATCATTCAAAATGATTACGGTGGCGCCGTGAATGAGTTTTCATATCTCCCTGTACTTGCACGGCTTTTCTCCGGGTACTCGGGTTTCCTCCCACATTCCAAAAACATGCATGGGAGGTTAATTGAAGACTCTAAATTGTCCCATTGGCCCAGCGATTGGCACGGCAGTTCAGTTCAGTATTTCCTATTAACTGGCTTTGCTGCAAGAATTGATGAAGTCTATTGGTTTGTTTCCCTCCTCTTCCCGACCGTTTTCCTTTCACATCTAAGATATCGAGGCGCTTAATGGCGACCCGCCAGGCTTCTCGTTCTGTCTCCCCCATGTCGGTTTATGCTGTCTTGTATATGTTTGTCTGAACGGGTTGAAACTAGGTAAAGTAAATTCCTTGAGTGTTTCTTGCACATCCGGCCAATAAATCTGATTCTGATATGTCGTGTTTCATAAGAACATGTTATAGTGATAAAGTAATTCTTCATACTTGAACAAAATGTACATTTAAATGATTGTACACACAACTGTTGCTTGATAAGGTTTAATAGATGTTTGTGTCAGTTGTTATGTACATTTTCTCCAAACATTGCTCATGGCCATACGCAGCACTTGCAGCCATCATCAAAGACAGATCCAGCTCCACAATTCCTCACATGGGTGATGCCACCGGCGCACATGTAAAAGCTGTTTCTGTCATCCGGGTTGGGATACAGGCCATCGGGTTTTCCGTTGCAGAAGCCGGACCCAGGGGCATGGGTTGTGACCGTGGTGGTTGTGGTTGGACGCGTGGTGGTGCTAGCGCCAGGTTTTGGGGTGGTGGTAGGAGGGAGTGGGGGCAACTCTGAATGACACAGAATGAAATAAGGTATGTTAGCGACTGAAGTTAAAGAATTTTGAACGTATTTGTTTCTCGGGGCAGCCGAAACATTTCAGTTTACCAATATTGAGAAGTTTGCGTAGATGAGACAAAAGAGGGTGGTTGCCCGCTCCACAGAATCGTCCAGCAAAGTCATCCAAATCAAGAGCCCACACAAAAGCACCGCCAAACCTCTGCTCCTGGAGGTAACGCACCTAATGGGATCAAGATAAACAATTTGAATCAGGTCTGGAGGGCAGGTCAAATATTTCCAGTTAATTGCGACCTACTTTGGTCTCATAGCTTTCCCTGTTGTCAAATCCCACCCACTCGTTGTTTTTTGTGGCATAGGGAACCTTCTGGTCATCGATCCATTGAATGGTAGTGCCCTTGAGGAAGCCACAGATCTGAACCACAAACAAGAAAGTCAGGTTAGAGTAGTTTGTTATACATCACAAAGCGTGTGCTGTTGAATACCAATTTCCCTTGCACATGTCGCGTTCTGAATCGCACCACATCTTTCAAATGCTGAAGTATTTATCATACCTCGTAGTAGGACCAGAATCCAGCTTCACGTGTGAATGGACCAGCTGATGCGGGTCCACTAGCTGGGGCTCCAACTGCGGTGTTTGATGATGTCAGACGGAAAGTACGACCATAGGCAGCAAAACCCATCCTCAGTTTCTCCACTGGGGTGCCGTTGTCTCGCCAGTACTTCATTGCAAAGTCCTAAATAGGAAATAGAAAATGGTTCAGATCTTGTTTTTGAAAATTGGATTATACCTCATAGAGTAAGTTATTGTTGCTTACGGTGTTAAAGTAGATGAGGTCGCCAAAGTCCTCAGAGCCGCGGAACAGAGGGCTGTTGTGGCCAGTGAACCGCTCCCAAGTTCCATGAAAGTCGTAGGTCATCACATTGATGAAGTCCAATTCTCTGATTTAGGTACAAAACAGACTGAAGCTCATGTGGATATTTTTGATTTTTTTTTTTTTTTGATATTTTCGAAGAAATAAATAAACGCACTTACTTGGCAATCTCAGCAATTTCATATCCTCCATCAATTGTACCCTTTCCAGCAGACACTGCAGCAGTCAACATGAGCTGAGTATTACCAGTGGCCTTGGCCTCGGCAGCATAGGCTTGAACAAGTTCCTGTAGAAGTACACGCAAAAATGAATGGAAGAAACTGGATCCATATTATATAAGATGTCAGCATTAAATTCAGCTGAACATGTAAAGATATACAGTATGTGCCCACCCTGCAGAGCAAAGTGAACTTCTGTTTGTCCCCTGGGGGGCTCCCACGAGCTCCAGGGTACTCCCAGTCCAAATCCAGACCATCAAAACCATGAGTCCTCAGGAATTTTATCGAAGACTGGATGAACTTCTGACGGTTAGTTGGGTTGGATACCATGATGGAGAACCTGCAGGAAAGGTTATTAAGGCCTTTTACACACCATTGTGCATAGATGCATCACAGATATTTTGACCCGGACTTTTAGAATTTCATTTTGGATTAACACAGTTTTCTCTGAGTACTCCGGTTTCCCCCACATTCTGAGAATATGAATGGCAGGTTAATGGAGCACTCTAAATTGTCCCTGGGTGTGAGTGTGAGCATGGATGGTTGTTTGTCTATGTTTGCCCTGCCATTGGCTGGCAGCAGGGTACCCGATGACGGCTGGGATAGGCTCCAGCATGCCCGAGACACTCGCAAAGATAAGCACATTGGAAAGTGCATGGATGGATGAAGACATTTAACCCATGTGCTGCAGTCGATCTAAATAAGTTTATATAACGCAACATACAATTTTACAAAAGTTGTAAAAGTATTATTCCTGAATATTTATTTCACTTTCAACCACTCGACATGTTCAGTGGCATCAGTGCTATACATACACATATAGTTCTTATTTTTTTCTTTGTATTTTTGCCCTCTATGGACAATAAAAGCGGTATTGTGCTATGACCAAAACATAAATATAAATCTATATAAATAAAACATGAATTGGAATATTTCATATCACACAATTTTTATGCTTTGTCTTTGATTTAAAAATGCATCATTGGTCTAACATATCATAATCTATTGACCTAAATCAGAGTGAATATATCACTCTTGGTCCCATTGCACAGTCATGCTGTGACAACATAACACAATTTGCAGTAACTCCTATTTTTGTCTCAACTGACAAATGACACATTACACAATATGGTATTAGTAAGATATTACCAGCACACAACTTTATCAGTCCAAGCAATGCATGCATGTCCAAGGTTAAAATGTAACTCACTGTTGTGAACCAAAGTTCCATCCACCAACAGCCAGGAGAGTCTTCAGATGGGGGTTCCTGCAAATAGAAATGTTTGTTTATTTGTTTGTTTCGTGAATATATTAACAGATAACAGAAATATGAAAAGTCAGAAAAAAAACTTAAAAGAAGAAAAAATAAATAGTCATAATTTAGCTCAATTTACACGTTTTAAAGGAAGTAGGAAGAAGGTAAAAAAAAAAACGTTTCTAGTCATTGTCATCATATTTACTCATAGTCTAAAATAGCTTGGATTGACATTTGAGTTCAAACAGCATTTACTTGGTCTTCAGGTTGTTGAAAGACTTGTACAGAACGTCATCATTCCACTCATAAGTAACCAGCTCGTTGTTGTGGTTGATGATAGAGAAGGCATAGATCAGGGTGGTGCATAGGAAGGGGTCCACATTTTGTGGCATGTATTTCCCCTCACCAGGTCTATACTGGGACCAGTTTGTGAAGTAGCACACCATTTTGGTGGCAGATCCTATTTGGAGGAAAAGAAACACGAACACAATGAACAAAGGAATGATTTTGAATAAGTTTTACATGAATGAAATGAAAAGGGGGTTCGTTGACAACTTACCCAGGTGGCATAGCACCAGACACAAGCCTAAATGATTACAGAGAAATATTTATAATTTTATACATAAAGAGGCAAGAGTGTCTATACTCCCTGTATGTATTGTGAGTAATATATATACCGGTATATATATATATATATATATAATTTGCATACCTGCAAGTATTGTCAACCTGGTCATCTTGATTTTTTTTTTTTTGATTGCACACAACTTAGCTGGGTTACTGTAAAAAGAAACATGTAGATAAGACAAAAAACTGTTATTTAAGACAACCACACGATCACACTTAGAGAAAAGGAAAGTCACACAAAGGTTATTTTCCTTGATAGACTCACCTTGGGACCAGATGAGAGACCCAAAGAACTGCAGCAAAGCTGGGTCCTTATATAGTCGAGAAAATGGGTCGAGTCAGCTGTTTATCACATAAGTTGTAAAAGTCATTAATATTAAGACATATTTTGATAAGAACGGGCAGGTTTTAAGTCCATGTTGACAATAATTTACCAGATATACGACTCTCTAACACTGCATCTCACAGATAATCTACAAATAAATTATGTCGGTGACCATTCTATAGTGTTATGTAATGTACTAGCAAGAATAGCCGCCAGCGTCTGCAATCCACTAGCCTTGTGTTTCATTTTGTTGCGTTGATTAAAAGTTTTGGCAGTGATTTGATTTGTTCCTTTCAGTGACATTGCTGCTTCAGCATTTTTAATGTATGAGTTTACATGACTCAATTTAGTAGTGACCAACAACAACTAAAAACATACATATGGAATACATATATACTATACTGTATATCAGGGGTGTCAAACTCATTTGACATTGTGGGCCGCATACGGCCTCGGCAGATGTCAAGTGGGCCGGACCATTAAAATTAGACCATATTCTGCCAAAAAATATCCAAAATATCATGTCTTTCCTTTGTTTTGGTTTTGTGAAGCGCAAAAACATTTGGAAAATGTTGACATTTCATGAACATGTCTTTTATAAAATATTTCACGAAACACCTTGAATTTCCTTTGACAAAAGTGCAATTTACTTTGATAATTTATGCATTGCAACTGATCCCACTGATTGTACAAAGGCACAAAACTTTTAACAAGTAATTGCTATTGAAAAATATAGTCATGCATTTTAAGATGAAACAAGATTTCTAAAGAAAGTAAATTTTTGAACCATTTACACATGTGCAAATCAAATCTAAATGTAATCCCTGCCTGCACTTTAGAAACTAAAGAGAAAACAGGCTTCCCCTAGTGGATAATCCATGAATTGCATTTTATTAAAATTATTCATTCCGTGTCTTTTCTGCATTTTTTTCACATTTAAATTGTCCTGCGGGCCTGACCAATCCTCCTTGGGGGCCGGTTCCGGCCCGCAGGACGTATGTTTGACACCACTACTGTATATTGTTATATTGACAACATTGACCTTTTTTTTGACAAGTTGGGTGGTGGCCGACCTTGGCGGCCCGATCCCCAATTCCAGAAGCAGTGATCCACCTTATTCCTCAGGGCTCTCATGGATAAATGATTATGTACGTGACTTCCTGTGTGACACTTCCAGTCAAAATTGTGCAATTTGTCCCAGCCGGTTTCTCTTTACGGAGGGGTTGATTTAACCCCTCCACCCTTTTCGAACCCCCCATTGCTGTGAAAAATGTCTTGCACGGGTTGGGGCATTGTTGCACTGTTGGCAATTGTACTAACAAGCAGGAGAAGTTGAATCTGTGACTACAAGAGCAATGTTTTGAAGTGGCACCCCAAAGGAGGAGAGGGTGTTGTTGTGACACCTGGAACAGTTTCTAACGCCTACCTGGGGATGAGCGTCACAAAAGAATTAGACTGAGGCGCTTTCTTTGAAAAATCCACCTCAACCATGTACATGTGCTACTTTTCATTTTGTGGAGAAAGAGCGCCGCACATATAAGACTGTGTGGTTGCTGATATGACTCAGAATTTTTGAGAGAGCTCACTTCCTCACGTCTGAAGCGGCAGAGTTCGGAAAGTAGTTAAACGTATGGCTGTACCTTATCGCTGGCCTCTTTTTTTATATCATCCTGCCCCTTCACTATCTTTGAAACGTTTTCTCTTATAAACTGCAACAACTGGCGTTCTCATTATGATCTGCGGAAAACCGATTTCTGTCATCAAGACTTAAAAGATGAAAAATCTCTCTTGCTTCACTGTCATATAAATATTGAGCCATTCAAAATACAAATTGTTCACACTCACTGAATCAAAGATTTGAAATATAGATGGAAAGCCGATCCTGAATACAGTTCCTGATTTGAAGCGACCGAAATGACGTTATATAAAAAGTAACATTAAAATTTGTAACCATGCCATAATCACAACCTTGGCACATACGCACAGACTGGTAAACATGACAAAACAAGATTAGACCGTTTGTAATTGTTCCAGTTTCGTGATTAATAGCTTTGATTACATTATCTTGGTCTGCAATTGATCAAGCGACTATGACCATTGACCATCATAATGTTCTGTTGCTGCCCACTTGTTTTTCCTTCAACACCCAGCTGTCTTGGAGATAACTTCAAAGCATTTTTTTTTTTTTATCTGCACACAATCGAGTACTGTTCTTTGAAACTAAACACACCAACAAAGGAAACATAAACTTGTCATCTGGTGGATGAATATTTATTAATATGCAATTCAAGTTAGCTGAATTTCATGATTCCATAGTAAAACAAGCTCATTTACACTGTTATGTAAGTTTTTCACACCACATGTAGATATCAACAATCTTTTACCGAAACATGATTTTCTTTTGATTTTTAAAATGCACATAGATATTAATAACAATGTTGATTGTTGTTGGATCTATTGTAAAATTGAGATTAACTGAAATAGTCAATGATAACTGTTATACAAAAGCATATTCCATAAGAAGTAATGACAGTGCAAGAGAGCTTTTATTTTAATTAATTACCATGTGTAAAAAAAATATATATAATAATAATAATAATCACTTGATTGGTAAGGTTTGTGTCCACAGATATACTTGTAGTCCAAGTTGCCGCATGATGTTCTTTATTTAGGACTTTGGACCATAGTCTGAACCTTCTTTCCATTGCTCATAAGTCCAGTACATGAACGTGAACTATCTGTCGATTTCCATTTTCTTTTTCTGCATGATTTGTTCGTACATTTAAAGTCCACTCAATTCAACTTTACTTGGAGGGCACTTTAAAAACAACTGCAGCTGCATACAACTGCTGTACATGAAGTAAAAATCTGACATATAAAAAGCGAGAAAGCTAAAACAATACATTCATAGCTGAGTCGAAAGCCAAAGAATAAGAATGCATTTTAAGATCAGTTTTAAAGATGGACAGAGGGGTGGTTCATGACTTAAGTATAACGGGAGGTCATTCCAAAGGGAGGGACCAGCAATTTGAAGTTCCCTTATTTCTCGGGCATCTTCTCACCCTCTAGAATTCTACTGAACAACCTGCTCAAGCATTCCAAGTACTGGAGGTCATTTTCGCCAAGCACCTGGTCATTCACTGCACTTGTTTCCCCCGCTCCAGTCCATGTTTTAAGTACAGTGCTCGGCTGAGCAATTTCTCTGATTTTCAGATAAAATGCTCTGTAGCACCATACTGCCTCACAGGTCAATCAGGTTTGAGGTAAAGCCTGTATCTCCATGATTGGCCCAGGCTTTTTTGGGGGGTGTGGGGGGGGGGGGGGGGGGGGCAGGGATTGTTAAGGTTGTAAATGGTCATAGAGGCATTCGTCAGCAGTTTCAATGGTTGCAAACTGTTTTTTTTTCCTGGTGAGGAGAAAAGCCATTTGTGAATGTTAAACGAAACGATTGGCAGATGTCTGGCGAGCGTCTCCGCAACCATTTTCGAACTTGAGCGAACCCTGATGAAAAATCAACATTCGGCTATGTGCAAACACTCGTCAAACCTCGGCCCTCAATGAGATAAGGGTTTAAGAGACTTGCATTTGTTAATGGTACTATTGTTATGTATGAGGTTGTGCTCTCTTGGTCATCTCAAGTACTGTATTTTCCGCACTATAAGGCGCTTCAGAATATAAGGCGCACCTTCAATGAATAGCCTATTTTAAAACTGTTTTCATATACAGTCAAACCTCGGTTTTCGTCCATAATCCGTTCCAGAAGGCTGTTCGAAAACCGAATTGTTCGAAAACCGAAACCATGCTCTTTAAAAAATATATATTTATTGAACACGTCTGCTCACAATGGAAAGCGACACGAGGAAGCGTCACTTCCACGTCTACCCAAGGAAGCGTCATTTCTTTGTGTAAGGAAGGTGAGAGGAGTCAAGTGGTGCATTCAAGTGCACTCAGTTTGTTCGAGAACCAAAATTTGTTCGTCATCCGAGGCATAAAAAACTCGAAATTTTTGGTCGAAAACCGAATTGGTCGAGAACTGAGACGTTCGAAAACTGAGGTTTGACTGTATAAGGCACACCGCATTATAAGGCGCTTAGAATAGAAGCTACCATAGTGGCTGCGATTGCGTTATGCATCCTCTAGATGGAGCTACACTAAAGGCAATACAATACATGGCAGCTTTATTTACCTTTCACAACCGCTGCAGCTGTAACAAAGCGCTTTACAGAACATTTAAATGACTACGTCCAAGAAATCAGAATATTGATCCATATGTAAGGCACATCGGATTATAAGGTGCACTGTCGGCTTTTGAGAACATTCAATGCTTTTAGATGCGCCTTATAGTGTGGAAAATACGTTACACTACACACCGGCACTGCACCAGGATTTTTTTCTCTCCAATACGAGAAGACGCTGAAAAAAAAAATTTAAATAAAAGCATAATAGACATTAGTGGTATGCGGTAGACACATGTATTCGATGTATGGTAATTTGCCCAAATGGAGAGATTTGGACTCGAGCGTCGAGTCGCGGTATTTGTCTTTGTATCTCCTTCCGTGTGGACTGCTCAATGTGACAGAAATTGTACACCCATGTCCCCTCACCATGTTCCCCTGGGAATGCTTGTTGCACACTACAGTATTTTGATTCACACTTACGAGCTGCGGCTGGTGGTTCTTCAGCTGTTGGACTGACCTCTTTTTTTTCAATTGCCTTCTTCTTTACCCCACTGGCAGACAGGGAGATTTTTGGAGGAAAATGTGTGTGTGTGTGTGTGTGTGTGTGTGTGTGTGTGTGTGTGTGTGTGTGTGTGTTGTTTTTTATTATTATTATTATTATTCCATCCATCCATCCATCCATCCATCTTCTTAATTGCTTTATCCTCACAAGGGTCACAGGGCAGGCTGGAGCCTACCCCAGCAGTCTTTGGGCAGTAGGCGAGGCACACCTGTCACGTTGCGAGGTGGTGGTGGACCCCAAAAAGCAGG